GGACAGTGAAGCAAAGATTGACATTCTAAGCATTGGGAATGTTCTATTCAAAATTCCAAAGTGATGTAGTAGCAAATACTTAAGCACCTACTGTGTGCCAAGCATGTTTTAAGTTCTGCAGATACAGAGGAGGAGGAGACAGATGAAACCCCAGCCTTTGTGATACTGTCATCCTAGTGGGTGTGGTAGGAGATGAAAAAGTAGACACCTACATGAATAAGACTTTCAGACTGTGCTAAACGCTGTGGAGGAGACGAAACACAGGTGAAGGGATGGAGTGACTAGAAGCAAGCAGGTGCGGCCACTTCAGGGACGGTGGTCAGGGGAGGAGGTGGCATCTGAGCTTTGACCTGAATTTTGAGAAGCCAGGAATGCGGAGAGGACTTCAGGCGGAGGAGACCTTGGGGAGGCTGGCGGGTTAAATCTGCAGGGGTGCGGCTGACCACAGGAAGTAAGGTGTGTGACAGTCACGCTGATGGTGACAGCACTGACAGCAGCAGCCAGGAGGGTGGCTGAGTGCTGACTCTCATGGGCTGTCCCAAGCCTCAGTTTCTAGGGTTCCCAGTCTGTTTGGGGAGGCGAGGAAAACGCAGGCAGCTCTAACTGCGATGAGAGAGGTCTCATCGGCAGTGTTCAGGAAGCCCAGGCGGGTCTCCTTCCTAACTGCAAGGGGTTTGGGTAGGTTTTTCCTAGGCGTTCCTCTGAGACCAACCAGCCCTGGCGAGGGTGCAGGGAGAGGGAGGGTGGGTCTGGGAACCGGCCTGGCAGGAGGAGGAGGAGGCGGTGGAGGAGGGAGGCTGGCGGCGGGCGGGAGCTGTTTGTTCTCTGGGAGGGATCCTGGCAGGGCGGTTTGGGCAGCCCTGTCCTGAAACTGGAGGAGCTGGGCTCCTTCCCAGGTCTGTGGGGGCTGGGTCAAGGGAGCGGTGACGGGGACAGGACCCCAGACAGACTTGACTTTGGATCCTGGATTGGAGCAAGTGACTTTACTCTCTGCTCCCTGAACCCCAGGGTCTTCCTCTTTTGTTTTTCTTTTTAATTTTATTTTACTTTAGGTTCTGGGGTACATGTGGAGGTCATGCACGGTTGCTGCATAGGTGCATACTATATCCGGTATTTCTCCCCGTGTTATCCCTCCCCGCCCTTCCCACCCCCCGCTGTCTCTCCCCTAGCCGCCCCCACAACTGCCCCCACTGTGTGACCTCTCCCTGAGTCCACGTGTTCTCATTGTTCAACACCCACCTATGAGTGAGGACATGTGATGTTTGGTTTTTTGTTTTTGTGTCAGTTTGATGCGAATGATGGTTTCCAGATTCATCCAAGTCCCTGCAAAGGACACAGACTCATCGTTTTTTATGGCTGTGTAGTATTCCATGTTGTATATGTGCCACATTTTCTTTTTTTTTTTTTTTTTTTTTTTACTTTTCGTTTGTTCCTCAGCTGGAATACATTTTCTTTTTTGAGACTGAGTCTTGCTCTGTCACCAGGCTACTAAAGTGCAGTGGCACGATCTCAGCTCACTGCAAACCCCACCTCCTGGGTTCAGCCATGAGGATTCTCCTGCCTCAGCCTCCTTCGTAGCTGGGACTACAGGCACCTGCCACCATGCCCAGCTAATTTTTGTATTTTTAGTAGAGACGGGGTTTCACCATGTTGTCCAGGATGATCGCGATCTCTTGACCTTGTGATCTGCCCACCTTGGCCTCCCAAAGTGTTGGGGTTACAGGCGTTGAGTCATTCCTCTTTGTTTTTTTGAGACAGAATCTCTCTCTCTCACCCAGGCTGGAGTGCAATAGCACGATCGATCTCAGCTCACTGCAACCTCCGCCTCGCGAGTTCAAGCGATTCTCCTGCCTCAGCCTCCTGAGTAGCCGGGACTACAGGTGCATGCCACCATGCCTGGCTAATTTTTGTATTTTTAGTAGAGATGGGATTTCACTATGTTGGCCAGGCTGGTCTTGAACTCCTGACCTCGTGATCCGCCTGCCTTGGCCTCCCAAAATGCTGGGATTCTAGGCATGAGCCACCGCTCCCGGCCAAGTGTCTTCCTCTTTCAAATGGGCATAAATCCTAGTACGTGTGTGAAGGCCTGGTAGGAGGGTTGGTGCGATGAGGCAAGGATAGTGATTAGCCCAGGGCCTGGGGGCCGGCGCGGTGGCTCACGCCTGGAATCCCAGCACTTTGTGAGGTCGAGGTGGGCAGATCATGAGGTCAAGAGATTGAGACCATCTTGGCCAACATGGAGAAACCCTGTCTCTACTAAAAATACAAAAAAATAGCCGGGCGTGGTGGCGGGCAGCTGTAGTCTCAGCTACTCAGGAGGCTGAGGCAGGAAAATCACTTGAACCTGAGAGGCGGAGGTTGCAGTGAGCTGAGATGGCACCACTGCACTCCAGCCTGGGTGACAAGAACAAAACTCCCTCTCAAAAAAAAAAAAAAAAAAAAAAAGTTAAAAAACCTGGAGAAATCATTCTAGTTACTACAGGCATGTAACTAATTATTGTAAAACCCAGTGGCTTCAGGCAAGGACCATATTTATTTTGCTCAAGAATCTACGGTCTGCACAGGCCTTGGTGGAGTTGCTTATCTGTGTGCCCTTTGGTGATGGCTCGGGAAGAAGCTGGAGAGGGGCCTGGGCTGGAAAGACTCCAGCTGGAGTCTGGGACAGTTGGAGCCCCTTGGCCCCCGTCCTTATTTCGACAGAGCTTTGGGGTAGCTAAACTCATCTTACACTGCTAAGGGCTCTCAAGATGGGTGTGGGGAGAGAGAGTTGGGGGGAGAGGGAGAGAGAGAGGAGAGACAAGAAGAGAGAGGAAGAAAGGAGGAGAGAGAAAGAAAGAGGAAGGCGGAGAGGGGTGAGAGATGGGGGAGAGATGAGATAGAGGGTGAGAGGGAGAGAGAGACGGAGAGAGAGAGAGCGAAAAAGGACAGAGAGAATGAGAATGAGAACTGGGTGCCATAAACCCTCTGATGCGGAAAGCAAAGGGCATTGTGGCAGAATCCTCTCAGCACCTGGGACAGCACCCAAAGCTGATTAGGAACTTGTTAACAAAGAGAAAAATGGTAAAGGGGTGGACAGCCCACGGAGAGTCCAAATAGATGTTCTAACTCCCTTGGGTGTGTCTGGGAATCAGGTAGGAGGAGGTCCTCAGAGGACAAATTTGCACGCATTGTTCTCTTTGTGGTAACAGTGTTAACGGCCAGCAATGTTCTGGCACTTACTATGGATTAAGTCCTTGTTATGGATGATTTCATGTCATCCTTCCAAATTCAATGACAGGGGGCCGGCCACAGTGGCTCACGCCTGTACTCCCAGCACTTTGGGAGGCTGAGGTGGGCAGATGACCTGAGGTCAGGAGTTTGAGACCAGCCTGGTCAACATGGTGAAACCCCATCTCTACTAAAAATACAAAAATTAGCCAGGTGTGGTGGTGTGCTCCTGTAATCCCACTACTTGGAGGCTGAGGTAGGAGAATCGCTTCAACCCAGGAGGTGGAGTTTGCAGTGAGCTGAGATTGTGCCGCTGCACTCCAGCCTGGGCGACACAGCGAGACTCGATCTCAAAACAACAGCAGCAGCAAAAACCTACAACTTCCCAATCTCATCACCAGCCACTGGCACCCACCGCTCTATTTTCTGTCTCTATGAATTTGACTCCTCCAAGTACCTTATAGAAGTGAAATCATACCGTATTTGTCATCGTGTAACTGGTTTAATTTTTGTTTGAGGTGGTGAGAGCTTCAGGACTATAGGACTAAGGTCTTAAAACAGCTCTTTCTGCCTGAGTAATCTCCATTATGGCAGGACTCCTGTAAGAAGATGACCGTTCATATGAGGGGGGAAGAAAACTTACTCCCAGTCAGAGCGACTTGGGTTGAATTCTTCCGTTTCCAGTGGCATCTGCTTCTGGGGCCTCAGACACTGTCAGGGGTAGGAGGTGGTGATCAGATACGCTTGCTTGGAGCAGTGCAAGGGAAAGCAGGTGCCCAGAGGTGCATCCTGGTTTGGTGGGGGTAACAAACATGGACAGGTAAGTGCAGGAGTGTCTGCGATACTCAAAGAAAGGTAGTTCAGCTGTGCACGGCGGCTCATGCTTGTAATCCCAGCACTTTGGGAAGCTGGGGTGGGTGGATCACCTGAGGTTGGGAGTTCGAGACCAGCCTCACCAATATGGAGAAACCCCATCTCTACTAAAAATACAAAATTAGCCGGGTGTGGTGGTGCATGCCTGTAATCCCAGCAACTTGGGAGGCTGAGGCAGGAGAATTGCTTGAACTCAGGAGGCGGAGGTTGCAGTGAGCCAAGATCGCGCCATTGCACTCCAGCCTTGGACACAAAAGGGAAATTCCATTTCAAAAAAAAAAAAAAAAGTTCAGGCAGAGTTCAGGAAGACGTCTCTGTACAGGCTCAGACATTGGGATGAGATTCTGAGAATCTGGGAATGAATCAGGCCCTCAGCCCCTCCTCCCTCAGGCCCAGGAGTCCTGACACCTAGCCTCTCCTCCCTTGGACCCAGAAGTCCAGGACCCCAGCTCCTCTTCCTTCAGACTCAGGAGTCCAGGCCCCAGTCCTCAACTCCCTCAGACCAGGAGTCCAGGACCCAAGCCGCCCCAGAAGCTTGGGTACCAACAGGCTACTATATCCTTGTTTCTGAGCATGGAAATTCTCAAATTATCCCCAAAAGCCTATGAAGAAGGTAAGCACACATTTCCAGATAAGGAAATAGGCTGACATATTTGAAAGACACACAGAGGGTCGCAGTCTGCAACTAACAGTGGTGGGATTCAAACCTGTGTTACTCTAGAGCTGCGCAGCGCCTTAAAAGGTGCGGCAAGTGTGACGTCGTTCGAACGAACCGTAGGCCCCGCCCTCGGACAAGGCTACGCCCACATGCTCGAAACCGCCACTACCAGCTGTAACTGCGCTCAGGGCCGATGCTCATAGGTCCCGCCCCTGGGATCCCCGCCCACTCTGCCCTTGCCACGCCCCTCACAGCCCAGTTCCGGAACTCGCGGGCCCCAACGCGCCTGCGCTTCCCCAGGTGCGTCGCTGCGTCTCGCGTTCTTCCGGGAGCTTCCCGGGCGGCGGGTCAGCAGTCGGCTCCGCGCAGACCGCCGAGCCGCGTTGCGGGCCCGGCATGAACCGCTACCTGCTGCCGCTGTCGGCACTGGGCACCGTAGTAGGCGGCGCCGTGCTGCTCAAGTGAGTACATTCTAGCCCTGCGTGCGCGGTCACGGCGGGCCCCCAGTGCTGGGGCAGGGAAGGCGGCGCAGACCCCCGCCCCTCGCACCCGGGTCCAGCCGCCGCAGCTGCGGACCGCGCTGCCTGCCGGGAGTGGGGCACACCTGCGCTCGGGCCGGCCGGCTCACGGCCCAAGGTCACGCGGAGGGAAGGGCGAGCCTGGGCCCTTGTAAATGTGGCTTTCCTTTCAGACTTTTAAACTCTTATTTATTATTTATTTGTTCATTTAGTTTTAGAGGCAGAATCTGGCTCTGTCACCCAGGCTGGAGTGCAGTGGCGCGGTCTCGGCAGCTTTGACCACCTGGATTCCAGTGATCCTCCCACCTTAGCGTCCCCAGGAGCTGAGACCACAGGCGCGCCACCACGCCCGGCTAATTTTTTTTTTTTTTTTTGAGACGGAGTCTTGCTCTGTCACCTAGGTTGGAGTGCAGTGGCGCGATCTCCGGTCACTGCAACCTCCGACCCTCCCAGGTTAAAGTGATTCTCCCACCTCAGCCCCCTGAATAGCTGGGACTACAGGCCTGTGCCACAACGCCTGGCTAATTTTTTTATTTTCACTAGGGACGGCGTTTTACCATGTTGGCCAGGCTGGTCTTGAACTCCTGACCTTGTGATTCGCCTGCCTCGGCCTCCCAAAGTGCTGGGATTACAGGCGTGGGCCACCGCGCCCCGCCAGGGCTACTTAAAGTTATTTAAAAATAAGCCTCAGTGGCTGGTGGCCACCGTATGTCCTGGAGTTTCTCCCCTGTGGGCTGTGGTGCAGATCGGCTCAGCCTCCTGTTGCTGGACATTGTGTGTTTCCAGCATTAGCCTCCGTGGGACATGGGTGTGGTGGGCAAAGTCATGGCTCTGGAGAGGTGGCCACGTCCCAGTCCTGCAATGTGTGACTGCGTTACCTCAAGCGTCAGAGGGTCTTGCTGATGTGTTAAGTGAAGGATCTTATGATTATCATGTAGGCTTTTTTATTTTTCTTTTGAGACAGGGCCTCTTTGGCACCTAGGCTGGAATGCAGTCATGCTGTCACAGCTCACTGCAGCCTCAACCTCCCTGGGCTCAGGTGATCCTCCTACCTCAGCCTCCCGAGTAGCTGAGTCTACAAGTGTGCACCACTATGCCCTGTTAATTATTTTTTTAGATGAAGTTTTGCTCTTGTTGCCCAGGCTGGAGTGCAGTGGCGTGATCTCAGCTCACTGCAACCTCTACCTCCTGGGTTCAAGCAATTCTCCTGCCTCAGCCTCTCGAGTAACTGAGGTTACAGGCGCCCACCACCATGCCCAGCTAATTTTTGTATATTTAGTAGAGACGGGGCTATACCGTGTTGGCCAGGCTGGTCCTGAACTCCTGACCTCAGGTGATCCACTGGCTTCGGCCTCCCAAAGTGCTGGGATTACAGGCGTGAGCCACTGAACCCGGCCCATTTTTGTATTTTTAGTAGAAATGGGCTGTCAGCATGTTGACCATGCTGGTCTTGAACTTCGGACCTCAAGTGATCCTCCCACCTCGGCCTCCCAAAGTGTTGGGATTACAGGCGTGAGCCACCGTGCACGGCCTGCCTTGTAGTCTTATAGGGTCCTTATGTGAGGGACCAGGAGGCTCAGTCAGAGGTCAGGTGGAAGCCAGAAGGAGAGGTTCCAGGGATGATATCAGTTTGAAGATGGAGGCGGGCCAAGAGTGGAGGGATGTTGCAGGCTGTAGCAGCTGGAAATGGATTCTCCCCTAGAACCTCCAGAAGGGGCGTGACTCTGCCAATTCTTGATTTATTGCAGTGAGACCTATTTTGGACTCTTGACCTGCAGAACTATAGGATAATGCATTTATGTGGTTTTAAGTCACTGAGTTTGTGGTAATGCATACAGCAGCCGTGGGAATCTCATGCAGTGGGCATTTTAAATTTTAAGATTTTTGAGGTGGAGTCTTACTCTGTCACTCAGGCTGGTGTCATTTCGACTCACTGCAGCCTCCGCTTTCTGGTTGTGCCTCAGCCTCCCGAGTAGCTGGGATTACAGGTGCCCTCCACCATGCCTGGCTAATTTTTGTATTTTTAGTAGAGACTGCATCTCACCGTGTTTGCCAGTCTGGTCTTGAACTCCTGACCTCAAGTGATCTGCCTGCCTCTGACTCCCAAAGTGCTGGGATTACTTGCCCGGCTGGGAATCTCATGCATTAGGCATTTATAAAATAACGATTGTCACCGGGTGCAGTGGCTCACACCTGTTAATCCCAGCACTTTGGGAGGCTGAGGCAGGCAGATCACCTGAGGTCGGGAGTTCGAGACGAGCCTGACCAACATGGAGAATGTGACAGAGATCCCACTGTGTGATGTGATGACATCTGTTTTTCAGCTGGGGGACGGGAGTGAGCTCATATGGGTTTGTCTGAGATCACTCAGTCAGGGGCACGTGGGGTGAGAGTGAGCAGACAGGACTGACTGTGCCCCTTCCCGCCCTCAGGGACAATGTTGCCGGTGGGGTTTGCCCCAGCAAGGCCACCATCCCTGGGAAGACGGTCATCGTGACGGGCGCTAACACAGGCATAGGGAAGCAGACCGCCTTTGAACTGGCCAAAAGAGGTAAAATCTCCCCTGCTTTGGCTCTGGGAGAGAGATTTGCACACCTATGCAGCATGATTCACAGTCCAGCAACCCAGGCACCCACTCACAGATGAACAGAGAAACAGAATGTGGCGTCTGCAGACAGTGAAACGATTCAGCCTTCAAAAGGAAGGGCATTCTTTTTTTTTCTTTGAGGTGGTGTTTTGCTCTTGTTGCCCAGGCTGGCGTACAGTGGCGCCACCTCGGCTCACTGCAACCTCCGCCTCCCGGGTTCAAGTGATTTCTCCTGCCTCTGCCTTCCGAGTAGCTGGGACTACAGGCATATGTCACCATGCCCAACTAATTTTGTATTTTTAGTAGAGACAGGGTTTCTCCATGTTGATTAGGCTGGTCTCGAACTCCCGACCTCAGGTGATCCACCGGCCTTGGCCTCCCAAAGTGCAGGGATTACAGGTGTGAGCCACTGCGTCTGGCCGGAAGGGCATTCTAACAGATGAAACTTGAGGACATGACTCTAAGTGAAATAAGCCATTCCACAGAAGAACAAATACTGTATGATTCCACTTATATGAGCTACCTAAATTCATAGAGAAGTTTGAATGGTGCTTGCCAGGGGTGGGGAGGGGAGAATGGGGAGTTATTGTTTAATTGGTACAGAATTTTAGTTTGGGAAGATGAAAACGTTCTAGAGATTCTAGAGATGGGTAGTTGTATTGGTTGTACATTAGGAATTTTTTTTGTTTGTTTTTGAGATTGAGTTTTGCTCTTGTTGCCCAGGCTGGAGCACAGTGGCACCATCTCAGTTTGCTGCAACCTCTGCCTCTCAGGTTCAAGCAATTCTTCTGCCTCAGCTTCCCAAGTAGCTGGGATTATAGGCATGCTCCACCACACCCAGCTAATTTTGTATTTTTTTTTTTTTTTTGAGACGGAGTTTCACTCTTGTTGCCCAGGCTGGAGTGCAATGGCGCGATCTCGGCTCACTGCAACCTCCGCCTCCTGGGTTCAGGCAATTCTCCTGCCTCAGCCTCCTGAGTAGCTGGGATTACAGGCACGCACCACCATGCCCAGCTAATGTTTTTGTATTTTTAGTAGAGACGGGGCTTCTCCATGTTGGTTAGGCTGGTGTCAAACTCCCGACCTCAGGTGATCCACCCGCCTTGGCCTCCTAAAGTGCTGGGATTACAGGCCTGAGCCACCTCGCCCGGCCATGAATGTTTTTAATACCAACGAACTGGATACATAAAAATGGTTAAGGTGGCTCACATCTATAATTCCAGCACTTTTGGAGGCTGAGGCGGGAGAATCACTTGAGGCCAGGAGTTCCAGATCAGTCTGGACAACATAGCAAGACCCCATCTCTCTGCCCCCCAAAAAATCAGCCAGGCGTGCTGGCACCAGTGGTGCCTGTAGTCCCAGGTCGCTTGAGCCCAGGACTTCAAGGATGAATGAGCTATGATGGTGTCACTGCACTCCAGCCTGGGCAGCAGAGTATGACTGTGATTCAAAAAAAAAAAGAGCATTAAAACAGTAAATTTTAAGTGATGTGTAATTTTACCACAACAAAAAAATTGGAGGCCAGGTGCTGTGGGTTATTTGTAACTCAAGCAGTTCGGGAGGCTGAGGAGCCGATCACCTGAGGTCAGGAGTTTGAGACTAGCTTGGCTAACATGGTGAAATCCCTGTCTCTACTTAAAATACAAAAAAAATAAGCTGGGTGAGGTGGCAGGCCCCTGTAACCCCAGCTACTTAGGATGCTAAGGCAGGAGAATCACTTGAACCCTGGAGGTGGAGGTTGCAGTGAACCGAGATCGCCCCATTGCACTCAAGCCTGGACAACAGAGAGAGAGACCCCGTCTCAAGAAAAAAAACAATCCTCTTGCCTCAGCCTCCCAAAGTGCTGGGATGACAGGTGTGAGCCACCGTGTCTGGCCAGTTCAGTGATGTTTAGTATCGTCACAGAGCGATGCAACTATCTTTAAAATCAACCCTAGAGCATTTCTGTTACTCTAGAAAGAAACATTGCTTGCTTTAACTACCAAGCTGCAATTCCTTCTCCCCCCAGCCCTAGGCAACAAATAGTCTATTTTCTTTCTCTGTGGATTTGCTTATTCTGGGCATTTCATATGCGTGAAATCGTGTGAACAGAATTCCTGTAAATGGGATTGTCCGCTATGTGTCTTCTGTGTCTGGTTTCTCTTCCTGAGCAGAGTTTCTGAGGTCTTCCTTGCTGTAGCCTGAGTCAGTCCTCCACTCCTTTTCACAGCTGTGTAATATTCCACCCTTCTGGAGGGACCATGTTGTTATCCCTTTATCCATGGATGGACATTTGTTTCTACCGTCTGGCTTCTGTGAAGAGTACCACGTGAACATTGGTGCATGTGCTTTTGTGTAGACGTGTTTTGTGTAGAAATGTTTTCATTTCTCCTGTGTCAGTATCTAGGAGTGGGTTATTAATGTAAACCTTTTTCTATTCTGGGTTTTCAGGAGGCAACGTCATCCTGGCCTGCCGAGACATGGAGAAGTGTGAGGCAGCGGCAAGGGCCATCCGCCGGGAGACCCTCAATCACCATGTGAATGCCCGGCAGTTGGACCTGGCCTCCCTTAAGTCCATCCGAGAGTTTGCAGCGAAGATCAATGAAGGTAGGACAACACTGGCTTGTGCGATGAGTCTGGGATGGGCGCCTCCCAGGGGCAGGCTGAGGAGTGAAAGAACCAAGGAAGCTTTAGAGCTTAGTTTTGGTGAACTGTGGCCCACGGGCCATATCCAGTGGCTGCCTTTTTTTTGTACAGCCTGCAAGCTATGACTTTATTTTTACTATTTATTTATTTATTTTAAAAGATAGGGTTTCACCATGATGGCCAGGCTGGTCTTGAACTCCTGACCTCAGGTAATCCACCCACCTCGGCCTCCCAAAGTGCTAGGATTACAGGCGTGAGCCACAGTGCCCGACTATTTTTATTTTTGAGACAGAATCTTGTTCTGTTGCCCAGGCTGGAGTGCAACGGCATGATCTCAGCTCACTGCAACTTCTGCCTCCTGGGTTCAAGTGATTCTCCTGCCTCAGCCTTCCGAGTAGCTGGGATTACAGTTATGTGCCACCACGCCCAGCTAATTTTTTTGTATTTTTAGTAGAGGTGGGGTTTCACTACATTGGTCAGGCTGGTCTCAAATTCCTGACCTCAGGTGGTCCTCCTGCCTTGGCCTCCCAAGTGTTGGAATTTCAGGCGTGAACCACCGGACCTGGTCTGAATAATTAGTTTTTTTGAGACAGGGTCTGTCTCTGTCACCCAGGCTGGAGGTGCAGTCATGGCTCACTGCAGTCTCAACCTGCTGGGCTCAAGTGATCCTCCCACTTCAGCCTCCCAAGTAGCTGGGTGTACAGGCTTATGCCACCACATTTTTTTTTGTAGAGCTGGGGTTTCACCATGCTGCTCAGGCTGGTCTCAAACTCCTGGGCTCAAGTGATCACACAAATTGGCCTTCCAAATTGCTGGATTATAGGCTTGAGCCACTGCACCCGGCCTTATTAAGTGCTTATGGATCAAGTGTCTTCCCCACCATGGTTAAAGAAATAAGTGTGTGTTTGTTATGGGACATTTATAAAATACTGCAGTGTAAAAAAGACAGAACTGGTCAGACGTGGTGGCTCATGTTTGTAAATCCCAGCATTTTGGGAGGCTGAGGTCAGGAGTTCAATACCAGTGACCATATAGCTTTTCTATTCTTGTTCATCTTAAATAGGCTCAAGAATACATTAAACATTATTATTTTATTTTTGAGATGGAGTTTCGCTGTTGTCGTCCAGCCTGGAGTGCAGTGGTGCGATCTCCGCTCACTGCAATGTCCACCTCTTGGGTTTAAGCAATTCTCCGGCCTCAGCCTTCCGAGTAGCTGGGATCACAGGCGCCCACCCCCATGCACAGCTAATTTTTGTAATTTTAGTAGACATGGGGTTTTGCCATGTTGGCCAGGCTGGTCGATTACAGGCGTGAGCACCGTGCACGGCCACTTTGTTTCTTTTGTCTGGCACTGGAAAGGGCCAAAGCTTTCTTGTTCAGAGTCGATGCGCCCCGCTCAGTAAACGGGCGCTCAGGTAATGGACAAACAGGGTGTTGTGGAACCTCAGTCACAGTCATAGGGAGGTAGGCGCAGGTGCTCACTCGTTCACACACATTGAGTCCCTGCTGTGCCCTTGGGGCTCAAGAGGGAGCCACCTTGTTGTGGATGTTGTGTGGAATAGGTGAGAGGCGCTGTGGTAAGATCACAAAGAACAGTGAGAGGGTAATGCCTCAGAGTCTCAGAGGTGGATGTAACGTTTTTATTTTTCTTGAGACAGAATCTCACTCTGTCACCCAGGGTGGAGTGCAGTGGTGCAGTCTTGGCTCACTGCAGCTCTGCCTTCTGGGTTCAAGCGAGTCTCCTGTCTCAGCCTCTGGAGTAGCTGGGATCACAGGCGTGCGCCACCATGCCAGGCTAATTGTGTATTTTTGGTAGAGACGGGGCTTCACTGTGTTGGCCGGCCTGGTCTCAAACTCCTGACCTCAGGTGATCCACCTGCCTCGCCCTCCCAGTCTGTGGGCACTGTGGTTGCTTTTGCAAGTGAGGTGGCAGGTTTGGGAATGAAGCTAGCACCTGAGAACCTGCAGTGCTGGGGCTCCTGCAGGAAAGAGTCCCAAGGCTTCGGTGGAGGTGTGGAGGGTATGTGTGTGTGTCCTGGGGCTGCTGTAACCATGCACCACAAACCCCGGGGCTTCCACCCTCGGAAGTGCATTCCCTAACCGTTCTGGAAGCCAGCAGTTGGAATCTGGGTGTCCCTGGGGCTGTGTTCCTGTGAGCTGGGCCGTAATCCTCCCAGCCTCTTCCACTTCCAGTGCAGTCGCCCACCCTCACCTTGGAGCTGTACCTCCTCTCCCCGCCTCCCTCCACACGTGGCCTTCCTCCCCACTGTGTCTCCGTCTGTTTTCCCTTCCTATAAGGACACCAGGCCGGGTGCTGTGGCTCACACCTGTAATCCCTGCACATTGGGAGGCTGAGGCGGGCAGATCACCTGAGGTCAGGAATTTGAGAGCAGCCTGACCAACATGGTGAAACCCCATGTCTACCAAAAATAAAATTAGCTGGGTGTGGTGGCACGTGCCCATAATCTCGGCTATGACCTCCTCCTCCCAGGTTCAAGTGATTCTCCTGCCTCAGCCTCCTGAGTAGCTGCGATTATGGGCACCGGTGACAAGAGGGAAACTGTCTCAAAAAACAAAACCGGACACCAGTCATTGGATTAGGGCTCACCCTAATGACCTCATCCTGATGTGGCCACTTCTGCACAGACCGTTTCTAGCAGGGGCCACCTTCATGGGCTCCAGAAGCACAGGAATGCTTCTACTGTGCCTTAGGCTGGGGTCTGTGCTCACCCTGAGATCTCCTTCCCCGCCTCTCTCTTCCAGAGGAGCAGCGAGTGGACATTCTCGTCAACAACGCGGCCGTGATGCGGTGCCCCCACTGGACAACGGAGGATGGCTTTGAGATGCAGTTTGGCGTTAACCACCTGGGTGAGGCCTGGGCAGGGGGCTACACCGTGGGCTCAAGCCATCCTCCCCCTCATCCTCCCAAAGTGCTGGGATTATAGGTGTAAGCCACTGTGCCCGATCAAAAGTGACCTTTTTGTCATCCTTTAACCCAGGTCACTTTCTCTTGACAAACTTGCTGCTGGACAAGCTGAAAGCCTCAGCCCCTTCACGGATCATCAACCTCTCGTCCTTGGCCCACATTGCTGGGCACATAGACTTTGATGACTTGAACTGGCAGACGAGGAAGTATGACCCCAAAGCCGCCTACAGCCAGAGCAAGCTGGCCATCGTCCTCTTCACCAAGGAGCTGAGCCGGCGGCTGCAAGGTACAGGGTGCTAGGCTCGGCCTCCCTCTTTACTTTGAGCCTAGAGCAGCTCTTCCGTGATCCTGGGCTGAGCGGAGGCCAAGCTGTGGCCCCAGAACAGAGCGGGCTAAAGTAGAGCACAGGGACGACCGTGCCGCTTCTGGTGCCTGAAGCAGACATCACTAATCGATCATTCTTCATTCATCCCAGGCCGTCTAGTCTGCCTGGATCAGTGTCCTTCCCTGCTGTTGTTGGGTAGGCAGCTCAACCTTTTGGCTCCAGCCAGTGAGTCTCAACCAGGAGCACTTTTGGCCTGGAATTGTCACTGCCTGGAGACACAGTAATCCCAGGTGGGCCGGGGAGAGATTGCTCTGGGCATTTGGAGGGTAAAGGCCCGGATGCTGTTCAGTGTCCTATAGCACATGAGACAGCCCCTTACCCCTCACAGCGTCTGCTGAGAAACCTGCCCTGGGCCCTTGCCTCTGAAAGACGGCCTGTGGACCAGCAGTGCCAGCCCCACTGGGAGCTGGTCTGAGTAGCCGTATCTCAGATCCCAGCCCCACCCACCGATTCAGACTCCCGAGTGAGCCTGGTGTTCTGGGTTTATCAAGCCCTCCAGGAAAGCTCTGCTCCCAGGCGCCATGTGGCAGAGCTGCCCTGCAAGATAAGACCACCTTACTAAGATTTCAGCGCAAGAGGGACGATGGGGTTTGAGTATAGGAAGCCCCAGAGCTGAGTGTGGGCTGCCACGGCCTTCCAGGTAAGGACCCCTCCCTCAATCTTCTCTTTTTCCCCTAGGCTCTGGTGTGACTGTCAATGCCCTGCACCCCGGCGTGGCCAGGACAGAGCTGGGCAGACACACAGGCATCCATGGCTCCACCTTCTCCAGCACCACCCTCGGTGAGTCTCCTCCCAGCTTGGGGTCTCTGCACTGAGCCCTCTACCCCTGCTCTCTCAGCCCAGGGCCCAGGACCCTCCCTCCGAGATGGTCCCTGGGGCCTCGTGCCTGCTCCTCCCCTGGGACCCTCCCTCCGAGATGGTCCCTGGGGCCTCGTGCCTGCTCCTCCCCTGCATCATCCGAGGCAGAAAGGTCGAGTCCCTTTCCTATGTCGATGTGGCCTGCCAGCCTCCAACAGCCCCAGGAAGCAGGTAGAATGCTGCTGGCCAATGAGAAAACCATGTCTCAGAGGAAGAGGCCATGGAACTGACTCCTGGAGTCAGGCCGTGCTTGGTGTAACTCCAGCTTCATCCCAAACCAGCCAGCCGTGTCTCCTGGGGAAATGGCGTAAGCCCCCCCATCCCCACCAGCCTCTTTCTTCATCTGCAGAGTCAAGGCCATAATGGGACTCACCTCACAGTCACTGGGAGGGTTAGAGGAGACTTTCCTGGAAAGGGCCAGCACCGTGACCCACTCAAAGAATAGGCTGCATCAACAGTTCCAGCCTTTCCCGTCCCTGCTGGTTCCCATCCCTTCTGGATCCCTTCTGGTTCCCTTCCCCTGCCTTTCCTTTCCCTGGGGGCCCCCTCCCCCTTCCTCTTCCCTGGGGGTCCCCTTCCCCTTTCCCTCCCCTTTCCATTCCCTGGTACTTCCCTTCACCTTCCCGTCCACTCCCCCCTTCTGCTTCCCTTCTCTTCCCGGTTCCCTCCCCCTTCCCTTCCCCTTTCCCTAGTACTTCCTTCACCTTCCCTGGTGCTTTCCTTACTCCTTCCCCCTTCCCGTCCACTCCCTTCTGCCTCCCTTCCCTTCCAGTTCACTTCTGCTTCCTTTCCACTTCCTCTCTTCTGCTGCTTTTTGGGTTCCCTTCTTGTTCCCTTCTCTTCCCCGGTGTGGATAGGTGGTTGCCATCAAGAATGTTAACCTGGCTAGGCTTGTAATCCCAGCACTTTGGGAGGCTAAGGCGGGTGGATTACCTCAGGTCAGGAGTTCAAGACTAGCCTGGCCAACATGGTAAAACCCTGTCTCTACTAAAAATACTAAAATTAGCTGGGCATGGTGGTGTGCATCTAAAGTCCCTGCTATTTGGGAGGCTGAGGCAGGAGAATTCCTTGAACCTGGGAGGTGGAGGTTACAGTGAGCTGAGATTACACCACTGCATGCCAGCCTGGGCAACACAGAGACTTCACATCTCAGAAAAAAAGAAAAATTAACCTGGGGCTGGTGCCAGGTGCATTTAAGAAGTTACTTAAGGAGAAATGGGGTAGGGTGACTACTGGGGCTAAGAGGAGGAGAGCTTTCATTTACCTGGGCAAAGCCAGGAAGGCTTCCTGGGGAGGCAGCTTTTGGTATGATCCCTGGTCTGGAGGGATTTGCCTGGGCGGTGCCAGGGAAGGGAACTGCAGATGGAGTGAGCCAAAGGGAAAGGGCTGGAGGGCTCTGTGGGACTCCAGGGGCCTGGAACTCCCTGACGGGGTAGTGGGGCTTCCTGACTTCTGAATGTGTTTGGACTGAATGCCCTGTGGGCTGATTGCAGGGCCCATCTTCTGGCTGCTGGTCAAGAGCCCCGAGCTGGCTGCCCAGCCCAGTACATACCTGGCCGTGGCGGAGGAACTGGTGGATGTTTCCGGAAAGTACTTTGATGGACTCAAACAGAAGTCCCCAGCCCCCGAGGCTGAGGATGAGGAGGTGGCCCGGCGGCTTTGGGCTGAAAGTGCCCGCCTGGTGGGCTTGGAGGTGTCCCATGTGTCCTCTGTGAGGGAGCAACCCCTTCCCAGATAACCTCTGGAGGTTTGAAAGCCAGGATGGAGGCTGAGGCTCCAAGATGGAGCCACAAGACCGAGGACCGCTGTCCACCACACCCGCAGCTTCCTGCCATCACCTGAGTGACGAGATGGAGGACCGCAGGCCACCACGCCCGCAGCATCCTCTAGGGGGCGGTGTCAGCACCACCTGAGCCGGGAGACGCAGAACTGCCGGCTGCCACAACCGCAGCATCCTCTAACGGGCAGTGCTGGTCGCAGCGGACTGGCTTGCAGGTGGGCACTGCCCTGGGCTCTGGCTGGTCCCGTGTGCTCTGCTGCCAGCAGGGGAGCAGGGCCATACTTCCTCTGGGAATCTAAACTGGGTACGGCTGAGGAGGAACAGTCTCTGTATGCTTGAGGCCGATGTCAGGAGAGGCAGCGGTGCCCGTGGGGGTGGGTTCCAAGGTGCTCCGTGAAGAGCATGGGCAAGGTGTCTGACACTCGGTGGATTCCTGGGTCCCTGTGGGACGCTGTGCACGCATGGTCCTCTCTTGAGCCTTGATTTCTCCAGCGGTGAAGTGCTCAGAATAGCTGCTACCTCCTGTGATGGCGTGGTGTGGTGAGCTGTTGTCTGGCCGTTGCATGGCTGTGCACAGCCCCTGCCAGAGGTGCTTGCTGAGGGCTTCCTGTGCCAGATCCTGGCCAGAGAGCAGGTGTCATCTGAGTTCAAGCTCTGCCTGGAATGGACTGGGAACTCCACCAGCTGCTGCAAGAACCTGGGAGTGCCTGGGGTTCCCACCTTCCTGTCAGTTCTCATGGTAATCCATCCAAACTGCAGACTCTCAAACTTGCTCATTTAAAAAAAAAAAAGTAGCGTTGTAGGTTTTATTTTTTCCTCTGTGTACAGGGGAATGTCCGTGAGCTGAACGAAGACAACTCACGGATTTATTCCTTTTAGGGACACAAGATATCAGTTTATCACCAGGGCAAGAGGCCATGCAGTTCAGACATTTTAGAGATGAAAACTCCTTTTACCCCTTTCACAGGCAATGGTCACTTAAGTCAGGCTCTTACAAGACTGCTGTGTTAGAAACCGGGCGGAGGTCAGGGTGAGCTGAAGGGGCTCTGGGCTTAGATGCAGAACTGAAGGGGGCACTGAAGAGCTGTCATTGAGATACAAAAAGTATTTCAGTATTTTTCTTTGGGATATTGGGGAGGCCAGGGAAGCTGCTCAATATCCTACGATACACACAACAGCCGCCCAGCCCACAGCAGATTGATTCGGGCCCTGATGTCACCAGCCCGGGGGAGGGAGGACTGGAGGGGAACTGAAAGACTTGCTGAAGCTGTAGAAAAACAGAAATAGGGCTGGGCATGGTGGCTCGTGCCTGTAATCCCAGCACTGTGGGAGGTTGAGGCAGGCGGATCACCTTAGGTCTGCAGTTCAAGACCAGCCTGATCAAGAGGGTGAAATACTGACTCTAGTGAAAATACAAAAATTAGCCCGGTGTGGTGGTGCACGCCTGTAATCCCAGCTGAGGCAGAAGAATCACTTGAAGTCGGGGCAGCGATTGCAGTGAGCTGCAATCGTGCCACTGCACTCCAGCCTGGGCGACAGCCAGACTGTCTCAAAAACAAACAAACCTGATCTCTGTGATGCTAGAACTCCCTCTTGTCAGCCCTCTGTCTTGCCTGCTGGATGGCTGGCTGTGATGGAGCTAGCTGCCATGGTGGGCGGTCCTGTGGCATAGCCAGGGAGGAACTGAGACTCTCGTCTAACAAACTGAATCACACCAACAACTATGTGTGTGAGCTTGCTATATGCTCTTGCTTGGGAGCAAGTTACAGGTTCAGCCGAAGAGGAGGGGACCACTCCAGGGTGTGAATACCAGGAGTGGGGAATCAGGAGACTACCCTAGGCCCCCAACAGGAGAGTATGTGTGTAGTATGTATTTCTTACTGGGAGATCATGGAAAAGCAAGTTAGAGAAACATCCCATCAGACGGGGGCCCTGAGGATAATCTCAAAGCCTCTGGTTCTCTAAATATGTGTGTAGGACTCACCCAAGCACTCTCTCTGCTTTTTAAAATTGTGATAAAAAGTATAGAACACTGGCCAGGCGTGGTGGTGCATGCCTGTAATGCCAGCTGATAGGTGAGCTGAGGCAAAATTACTTGAACCCAGGGGGCAGAGGTTGCAGTGAGCCAAGATCACATCACCGCACTCCAGCCTGAATGACTGGGCGAGACTCCATCTCAAAATAAAGAAAGAAAGATTCTGGGGGTCACACCTGTAAGATTCTGGTTCCCTAGGTCTTGGGAGGGGTCCAGGGCTTCACATTCTTGACATGCACTTTGAGAAACGCTGCACCCAGGCTGCCCAAGCCCCACACAGCACCGCAAGCTGCCTTGACACCAGGTGCCACGTGGGGCTTAGGCAGCCTGGAGTACAGTACTGGCGTGTTCCTGTGCTGGTTGGTAAACAAACAGCTACAGCTAAGAACCATCCAACTGCTGTCGCTAGGGACCCAGCAATCAAAGGGTTAATTTGCACCCAGCCCCTTTCTCCATCATCCTGTGTCCTTCTGCCCGCTGTAGGATTTTTTTTTTTTTTTTTAAGAGGGGGTCTTGCTCTGTGGACAGAGTGGAGTGTGGTGGCACGATCTCAGCTCACTGGAACCTCTGCCTCCCAGGTACAAGTGAGTCTGCCTCAGCCTCCCGAGTAGCTGGGACTACAGGCGCGCTCCACCATGCCCAGCTAATTTTTGTATTTTTAGTAGAGATGGCGTTTCACCATGTTGGTTAGGCTGGTCTTGAACTGACCTCAGGTGATCCACCCACCTAGGCCTCCCGAAGTGCTGGGATTACATGCATGAGGCACTGCTGCCAGCTGTAAGATGTTTTCAACATCTTCCCCCCTCTTTGGTGGCACAGGGGCTGGCCCCATATATATATTCGATGGCAACTGACTAGGTCCCTGATACACCTGAGCACTCCAAAAACACCCAGTTACCTGGGACGGAAGATGGTGATGTGTGGCCCTCGCAGGGTTGAGTTTGATAAATGCTCAAAGAAGGTGGTTTTTAGTAGAAAGCCAGCTTTCCTTTTTTTTTTTTCCTGCCAGTAAACGGCAAACAGGAACCTATGGTTGGTGATGGATGTGCTTTCAGAAATGGGGGAGGGAGAGGGAGGCAGTGGGGAGGGAAAGGGAGGCAGTGGGGAGGGAGTCATCAGCCACAGCTGTCTGCTGCATCACCTTCTCCCGATCTGCAGGAAGCTTTCTCGACTTACCTGCTGTGCAGTGTCAAAGTGCTCTATCTTCATTCATATCGAGTAAAGTCAAGGGAGAAACTCTAAAAACGGCAGCACCTTCCTGTCTTCCCACTCAGGTTGCTGCTGTAGCAGAGTGTGGCCTTGATTTCCAGCTTCGCAGCAGACAGTCTCATGGTGAGACCCTGCCTGGCATTGATTCAGAGACAACAAAGCTCCCAAGGTGCCAGTGAAGGAACCAGGGGCGTAAACACAGCCTGTGAACTGCAAGGCAGAAGACGGGTCCAGCCGGTGGCTGCTGAGTCCTCAGGGTGTGTGGCATCTGAGCACATCTCCAAACCACCCAAGTGGCACCCCAGGGCGACATTTACATCATCTTGATACAATTCTCTCAAGGGAAAAACAAGTCTGGCAGCTTCTGCCACAGCAACACTGGCTTGGAGCCTCACGGGAGAGGCCCTAAGAATATCATTTTCTCACTCTAAGTTGCTCTTATGGGAGAGAAGTGATGACATTCTTCCTAAATGTCAACATCTGTGCATCCTTCCCACCATGTGTCACTGGGGCCATCCCATGATTTCAGAATGCTGAGCAGTGTCCTGGCTTCAACCCACCAGATTTTAGGAGCACCCCAATTTCTGGCATTGGGTGACTGACTTGACCTTCACTGTCATATGATTCTTTTTATGTGTCTTTAAAAAACCCTAGAAGAAAATCTAGGCAAAACTATTCAGGACATAGGCGTAGGCAAGGACTTCATGACGAAAACACCAAAAGCATTGGCAACAAAAGCCAAAATAGATAAATGGGACCTAATCAAACTTCACAGCTTCTGCACAGCAAAAGAAACAGTCATTAGAATGAATTGGCAACCAACAGAATGGGAAAAAATTTTTGCAGTCTACCCAACTGACAAAGGGCTAATATCCAGAATCTACAAAGAACTAAAACAGATTTACAAGAAAAAAAAAATAAGCCCATTCAAAAGTGGGCGAAGGATATGAACAGACACTTTACAAAAGAAGACATACATGAGGCTAACAAACATATGAAGAAATGCTCGTCATCACTGGTCATTAGAGAAATGCAAATCAAAACCACAGTGAGATACCATCTCATGCCAGTTAGAATCATTAAAAAATCTGGAGACAACAGATGCTGGAGAGGATATGGAGAAATAGGAACACTTTTACACTGTTGGTGGGAGTGTAAATTAGTTCAACCATTGTGGAAGACAGTGTGGTGATTCCTCAAGGACCTAGAAATAGAAATTCCATTTGACCCAGCAATCACATTACTGGGTATATATCCAAAGGATTATAAGACGTTCTACTATAAGGACACGTGCACACGAATGTTCATTGCAGCACTGTTTACAATAGCAAAGACCTGGAACCAACCCAAATGCCCATCGATGATCGACTGGACAGGGAAAATGTGGCACATATACACCATGGAATATTATGCAGACATCAAAAACGAGTTTGTGTCCTTTGTAGGGACATGGATGAACCTGGAAACCATCATTCTCAGCAAACTGACAAGAACAGAAAATCAAACACCGAATGTTCTCACTCATAGGCGGGTGTTGAACAATGAGAACATGTGGACACAGGGAGGGGACCATCACACACTGGGCACACTGGGGTCTGTCAGGGGGAAATAGGGGAGGGACAGCGGGGGGTGGAGAGTTGGGGAGAGCGAGCGTGGGGAGAAATGCCAGATATAGGTGATGGGGAGGAAGGCAGCAAATCACACTGCCATGTATGTACCTATGCAACAATCTTGCATCTTCTTCACATGTACCCCAAAACTTAAAATGCAGTTTAAAAAAAAAAAAAAAGGACCCAGTGGGGCTGGGCACAATGGCTCACACCTGTAATCCCAGCACTTTGGGAGGCTGAGGTGGGTGGATTGCTTGAGCCCAGGAGTTCAAGACCAGCCTGGGAAACATAGTGAAACCCATCTCTACCCCCCCAAAAACATTTTTTTTTGAGATGGAATTTCGATCTTGTTGCCCAGGCTGGAGTGCAATGGTACGGTCTCGGCTCACCGCAACCTCTGCCTTCTAGGTTCAATGGATTCTCCTGCCTCAGACTCCCGAGTAGCTGGGATTACATGCGCCTGCCACCACACCTGGCTAATTTTGTATTTTTAGTACAGATGGGATTTCACCATGTTGGTCAGGCTGGTCTGGAACTCCTGACCTTAGATGATCTGCCCGTCTTGGCCTTCCAAAGTGCTGGGATTACGGGTGTGAGCCACCACGCCCGGCCCAAGATCCTGTTTTCAATCCTTTTAGGTGTATACCCAGAAGTGGAATTGCTGGATTTTATGGCAACCCCACGTTTAACTTTTGGAGGCGCTGCTAAACTTCTCCATAGCAGCAGCACCATGTCACGTCCCACCAGCAATGCATGCATGTTCCAACTTCTCTGCACACTCAGCAACATTTGCTATTTATCCATTTTAAAAAGTACAGCCATCCCAGAAGGTGTAAAATCGTATCTCACTGTGGTTCTGATGCACATTTTCCTAGCGACCATCAGGGACTTTGTGGGAACATGAGAGCACAGACCAGGCCCCAGTGGGCAGACGTGTGGTGCAGAGCCAGGCTGGCTGGTGGAGATAAGTGAGACTCCTTAGAGCTTGTGTGCAAGTCACTGTACTGAGGAGCCGGCTATGGCTCGATGAGTCTCAATTAGGAAAGGCCGGGGCTGGTGAAGGAAGGGAGGAGGGCATTCTTTGTCCTCACCACATCCTGAGCCTGTGCCCCTGACTCCACCACTTCCCTCCCTGGCCACAGAGCTCAGGACAGGGCCGAGGAACCATGTCTGCATTCCTGACTGCCCTCTTCTGTCTTGGTGAGTCCTGAGGGTGGATCTGGGAACTGCTGAAGGGCAGGCATGGACTGCCAGACAAAGGATGTTTTTAAGAATTTGTGGCTGGGCGCGGTGGCTCATGCCTATAATCCCAGCACTTTGGGAGGCTGAGGTGGGCAATCACAAGGTTAAGAGATCAAGACTATCCTGGCCAACATGGTGAAACCTGATCTTTACTAAAAAATACAAAAATTAGCTGGGCGTGGTGGCATGTGCTACAGTCCCAGTTACTCGGGAGGCTGAGGCAGGAGAATCGCTTGAATCCGGGAGGCAGAGGTTGTAGTGAGCCGGGATCATGTCACTGCACTCCAGCCTGACAACTAAGCGAGACTCCGTCTCAAAAATAAAAAAAAAGAAAAAGAAAAAAGAATTTGTATCAGTAATGAATTTCAGGACAAAAAAGGACCAATGAGAGCCCCTTCATTTGTTGGGTGGGGAAATGAGGGGCCAGCAAGGTGGCGTGTTTTGTATAAGTTATTCCAGTTTATTCATGGCTGGGTCAGTAAATGAACAGAGGTATCCTAGTGTTGGTCGCAACGTTGTTCCACTACACTACAGTTGCCCTTTTTTAAAAAAATGTGGGCCAGGCACGGTGGCTCATGCCTGAAATCTCAACATTTTGCGGGGCTGAGGCGGGTGGATAACCAGAGGTCAGGAGTTCGAGACCAGCCTGGTTAACATGGGGAAACTGTGTCTCTACAAAAGTACAAAAATTAGCCAGGCATGATAGCAGGTGCCTGTTATCCCAGTTACTCTGGAGGCTGAGGCAGGAGAATCACTTGAACTTGGAAGGCAGAAGTTGCAGTGAGCTGAGATCATGCCACTGCACCCCAGCCTGCACAACAGAGAGACTGGGACTCAAAAAAAAAGGCCGGGTGTGGTGGCTGTCACCCGTAATCCCAGCACTTTGGGAGGGTGAGGTGGGTGGATCACCTGAGCCCAGGAGTTCAAGATGAGCCTGACCAACATGGAGAAATCCTGTTTCTACTAAAAATACAAAATTAGCTGGACGTGGTGGCGCATACCTGTGATCCTAGCTACTCTGGAGGCTGAGGCAGGAGAATCACTTGAAACTGGGAGGCGGAGGTTTCTGTGAGCTAAGAATGCACCATTGCACTCCAGCCTGGGCAACAAGAGTGAAATTTGGTCTCAAAAGAAAAAAAATGTGCACTTGATATCAGGACAAGATTATGGGCTGAATTTGTCAGTATCCCCTACAGTAGCGGAGTAAGAGTCTCTTGAAGGATGGGTGATGGGTCAAATGCATTTCTGCTGCCTATTCCTCACTGTGTAAGCCAGACACAGTGGCTCACACCTGTAATCCCAATACTTTGGGAGGCAGAGGTGCGTGGATTGCTCGAGCCCAGGAGTTTGAGATCAGCCTGGGCAACATAGCGAGCCCCTGTACCTACTAAAATTAGGCACGTTGAATGCATTATTGCCTTATTTCTTCAGGAGAATTTGACCACTAACGGGACAGCGTCTCCAAGAGGCTAAGGAAGGAGATGGTTGTGGTACTGGAGATGAGAGGGTGAACTGCAACTATAAACAAGCTCTCATTCATTATTCATACACAGATGTAGTATTCTTTTAATTTTTATGCAACTTTATTTGAGACAGGGTCTCACTTTTGTCACCCAGGCTGGAGTGCAGTGGCATGATCACGGCTCATTGCAACCTCAACCTCCCAGGCTCAAGCAATCCCTCCTCCTCCATCTCCTGAGTAGCTGGCACTCCAGCTGCACACCATCACGCCTGGCTAATTTTCGTAGTTGACAGGGTCTTGCTATGTTGCCCACGGTGGTCTCAAATTCCTGTGCTCAAGTGATCCACCCACCTCTGCCTCCCAAAGTGTTGAGGTTACAGGTGTGAGCAGCTGTGTCTGGCTTAGTTTTTGCTTCAATAGCTTTCGGAATACAAGTGGTTTTGGTTACATGGATTGAATTATATAGTGAATTCTGAGATGTTAGTGCACCTGTCACCTGAGTAGTGTACATTGTACCTACTGTATAGTTTTTTATCCCTAGCCCCCCATCTGCCCTTCTCCTTCAGTCTCTAACGTCCATCACAGCACTCTGTGCCTTTGCATACCCACAGCTTAGCTCCCACTGACAAGTGAGAACGTACAGATTTTGGTTTTCCACTCCTGCATTACTTCACTTAGAATAATACTTTCTAGCTCCATGCAGTTTGCTGCAAAAGACATTATTTCATTCCTTTTAATGGCTAAGTAGTATTCCACACTCATTTATTATTTATGTATTTATTTATATATTTTTTTGAGACAGAGTTTCACTCTTGTTACCCAGGCTGGAGTGCAATGGCGCGATCTCGGCTCACCGCAACCTCCGCCTCCTGGGTTCAGGCAATTCTCCTGCCTCAGCCTCCTGAGTAGCTGGGATTACAGGCACGCGCCACCATGCCCAGCTAATTTTTTTTTTTTTGTATTTTTGGTAGAGACGGGGTTTCACCATGTTGACCAGGATGGTCTCGATCTCTTGACCTCGTGATCCACCCCCCTCGGCCTCCCAAAGTGCTGGGATTACAGGCGTGAGCCACCACGCCCGGCTATTTCTTTATTTTTTGACACGAAGTCTCAATCTGTTGCCCAGGTTGGAGTGCAACGGCGTGATGTCAGCTCACTGCAACCTCCGCCTCCGGGTTTAAGCGATTCTCCTGCCTCAGCCTCCCGAGTAGCTGGGATTACAGGCACCCTCCACTACACCCAGCTAATTTTTGTATTTTTAGTAGATACAAGGTTTCACCATGTTAGTTGGGCTGGTCTGGAACTCCTGATGCCTCAGCCTCCCAAAGTGCTGGGATTACAGGCATGAGCCACTGCGCCCAGCCCCTAATTTTTCTTACAGGTTCAGGGGTACACATGCCGGTTTGTTATGTGGGTAAATTGCATGTCCAAGGGTTTGGCATACACATTATTTCACCAGCTAGGTAGTGAGCGTAGTACCTGACAGGCAGTGCTTTTTTTTTTTTTTTTTTTTTGAGATGGAGTCTTGCTCCATTGCCCAGGCTTAAGTGCAGTGGTGCAAAGTTGGCTCACTGCAATCTCTGCCTTCTGGTTTGGATGATTCTCCTACCTCAGCCTTCAAAGTAGCTGAGATTACAGAAATCCACCACATCAGGCCAATTTTTTAATTTTTAGTAGAGACGGGGTTTCACCATGTTGGCCAGGCTGGTCTTGAACTCCTGACCTCAGCTGATCTGCCTGCCTCAGCCTCCCAAAGTGCTGGGATTACAGGCGTGAGCCACCGCGCCCCACCTCCTGATAGGCAGTTTTTTGATCCTCTCCCTCTTCCCAACCTCTACCCTTAAGGAGGCCCTGCCTGTCGTCCATCTATGTGTCCAGGTGTTCTCAGTGTTCAGCTCCCACTTTTAAGTGAGAACATGCAGTATCTGGTTTTCCATTCCTGTGGGAACAGAACGTGGATGGAGCTGGAGGCCATTATCCTAGCTCCATCCGTGTTCCTGCAAAGGACGTGATCTCATTCATTTTTTTTTTTTTTTTTTTTTTTTGAGACAGAGTTTTACTCTTTTTACCCAGGCTGGAGTGCAATGGCACGATCTCGGCTCACCGCAACCTCCGCCTCCTGGGTTCAGGCAATTCTCCTGCCTCAACCTCCTGAGTAGCTGAGATTACAGGCACGCGCCACCATGCCCAGCTAATGTTTTGTATTTTTAGTAGAGACGGGGTTTCACCATGTTGACCAGGATGGTCTCGATCTCTTGACCTCGTGATCCACCCGCCTCGGCCTCCCAAAGTGCTGGGATTACAGGCTTGAGCCACCGTGCCTGGCCGACCTCATTCATTTTTATGGCTGCATAATATTCCACAGTGTATCATACCAAGTTTTTTCTTTCTTTCCTTTTTTTAGTACTACAGCACTTTATAACAATAGAGAGTAGGTGAAGATACTACGTGCTAACACAAACAATATGATACACAACCTCGGGGGAGAAGCTGGCAGGGAGCATGTGGCAGAGGCCACAGGTTTACACTAAGAGCCTTTCAATGGACTGCTGAATGGACTGGATCTACTGTTTCAGCTGTGAGCCTTCTGTGATGGTGACAGAACAGGCGATGACAGGCCTGCAGGCCCCACAGGCTTTCCCCAGGGCCTGCTTGGAGCACACAACCATGTAGGGCATGGTCTTGTCTTTACACAGCAATGGGAGGTACAGAATGACGTCCAGTGGCTCGGCGTCTACGGCCATCACAGTGAACGCAGAGATGCCCCTGTTGAGGGTTTTGGTGGCCTCACCGCTCCTTTCCTAAGCTGCTCATAGTTACATGTCTGCTGAATGAGGTCTAGTAGTTTCTTGGTGAGGCGGGCATCGGCGAGGGAATAGGCCTTTGAATTCACATTGGCCTCAGTCACGGCTGCGGCTCTGCAGTCTGGGCACCCCACCAAGTTTTCTTTATCCAGTCCACTGCTCGTGGACAGCTAGGCTGATTCCACGTCTTTGCTACTCTAAGCACTGCCGCTGTACGTTGTGTAATCATATAGATAACGGAAAGTATTACTTTCCCAGTGACCCAATCGTACATTTGATGAATTCTGGGGACTAACGCATCCCATTAGTGTGGGATTTTATTTATTATTATAACTATTATTTGAGACAGAGTCTCACTCTGTCGCCAGGCTGGAGTGCAGTGGTGGGATCTTGGCTCACCGCAACCCCTGACTCCTGGGTTGAAGCGATTCTCCTGCCTCAGCCTCCCTAGTAGCTGGGACTACACGTACGTGCCACTATGTCCAGCTAATTTTTGTATTTTTTTTTAGTAGAAAAGGACAGTGTTGGCCAGGATGGTCTTGATCTCTTGACCTCGTGATCCACCCACCTCAGCCTCCCAAAGTGCTGGGATTACAGGTGTGAGCCATGGCGCCCTGCCAATGTGGGTTCTACTGCATATATTACATATACAATAAAATAAAATGCAACGATATACGATATGCAATACTATTTACAATACTTGTCTATACAATTGCATCCTGTTGCCTATGTGCTGGATATTGTTTAATACTGGGAGACGGAAGGGAGGAGATGAAGGGACAGCAATGTCTGAGGTCACATTCCTCACACCCCCTGAGGAAGTCAGTGTGCAATGCCTAACACTAATGAACCCACAGACAGTAGTATGCATACTTTTTTCTAGAACCATGAAGATGTAAAAAAATGCCAGAAGGAACAACAGAAATAGTAAAAAATGTATGCAGGGCAGGGGCAGTGGTGGGAGTTGGACAGGATGGACAAGGAATCTCAGTTTGACTTTGAAAAGGTCTACTTTTTGAGATGGGGCCTCACAACCTTGTCCAGGCTGGAGTGCAGTGAACACCATCTTGGCTCCCTGCGGACTTGACCTCCTGGGCTCAAGGAATCCTCCCACCTCAGCCACCCCAAGTAGCTTGGACCACAGGCACATAGCACCATGCCTGGCTAATATTTTTTTTTTGTGGTAGAAATCAGGTCTCACTATGTTGTCCAGGCTGGTCTCCAACCCCCGACCTTAGGTGCTTTGGCCTCCTTGGCCTCCCAAAGTGCTGGGATTACAGGTGCGAGCCACTGTGCCTGGCCTTAAAACAGTTGTAACTGTGGTGAAATGAACAGAACTGAAAGTCTGCTTTACCTAACATTTGGTACATTCAGTGTTGTGCAACACCATCCTCTATCTAACTGCAAAACATTATGGCACCTCCGAGGAAACCCCACGCCCGTCAGGCAGTCACCTCTCGTCCTCGCTCTCCCCACCACCCCCAGCCACGTGTCTGTTTTCTTCTCTGTCTTCTGTAGATTTAACCCTTCTGGATATTTCACGTAAATGACGTCGTAAACTATGTGGCTTTTTCTGACTGGCTTCTCTCACTGAAATTACATGCCTGTGTGTCTTTTGAAGAAATAAGTGATTAGGAGAGAATAAAGCACATGCATGCAAATGTCTTGTCACCGCGCCCAGCAGGCAGCAATGTCTATAAAAGTCAGTCCTGGCCTCTGGTCTCTTTCTTCTCTCCTCAGGGCTGTGTCTGGGGCATGTGCAAGCACAGAGTGGTGAGTCCTTCCCTCCTGTGGGATCCACCAGCAGGTGGGGGAAGTGGGTTCCAGGTGAGGTCTGCAGGGAGGCTGACCCAGCCCTGCTCCTCCTCTTCCAGGACCACTCCCCAAGCCCTCCCTGCAGGCTGTGCCCAGCTCCCTGGTGCCCCTGGAGAGGCCAGTGACCCTCCGGTGCCAGGGACCTCCGGGTGTGGACCTGTACCGCCTGGAGAAGCTGAGTTCCAACAACTACCGGGATCAGGCGGTCCTCCTCATCCCAGCCATGAAGCAAAGTGCCGCTGGACGCTACCGCTGCTCCTACCAGAACGGAAGCCTCTGGTCCCCGCCCAGCGACCAGTTGGAGCTCGTTGCCACCGGTAAAGGACAGGGGATTGGAGCCTGGGACTGTATGGGCCTCCGTTTGGACACAAATATGGGGGACGTTAGGCTGGGCACAGTGGCTCACGCGTCTAATCTCAGCGCTTTGGGAGGTTGAGGTGGGCAGGTCACCTGAGGCTGGGAGTTCGAAACTAGCCTGACCAACATGGAGAAACCCATCTCTACTAAAAACACAAAATTAGCCGGGCATGGTGGCACATGCCTGTAATCCCAGCTACTCGGGAGGCTGAGGCAGGAGAATCGCTTGAACCCAGGAGGCAGAGGTTGTAGTGAGCCAAGATCGAGTCACTGCACTCCAGCCTGGACGCCAAGAGTGAAATTCTGTCTCAAAAGAAAGGGGGGGACACTGAGAATAGGGATTAGGGCCTGGATTAGGGTGAGGCCAGCCAGGCACTGGCCTCGTGGGTGCTGGTGCCACAACATTTATGAATCAATGTGAATAATATTTTATTTATTTTTCGGACACAGTGGCTTCCTGTGTCACCCAGACTGGAGTGCAGTGGCCGATCTTGGCTTGCTGCAGCCTCTACCTCCTGGGCTCAAGCGATCCTCCTGCCTCAGGCTTCCAAGTAGCTGGGACTATAGGTGTGCGCCACTACGCCCAGCTGGTTTTTTTTTTTTTTTTTTTTTTTTTAAAAAAGGGGTCTTTTGACAGTTTTCACAAAAGGCATAAAAAAAAAAAAAAAAAAGGCTGTGTGCGATGGCTCACACCTGTAATCCCAGCACTTTGGGAGGCCAAGGTGAGTGGATCACCTGAGGTCAGGTGTTTGAGACCAGCCTGACCAATATGGTGAAACCCCATTTCTACTAAAAATACAAAAATTAGCCGGGTGTGGTAGCGCCACCTGTAGTCTCAGCTACTTGGGAGGCTGAGACAGAATTGCTTGAACCTGGGAGGTGGAGGTTGCAGTGAGCCGAGATTGTGCCATTGCACTCCAGCCTTGGTGACAGGGCGAGACCCTGTCTCAAAAACTACCACCACCAAAACCTTTGTTTTGGATTAACTTTTAGACTGACAGAAAAGCTGCAAAAGATAATACGAATGGAAATATTTTACCTGGGATCCCTTCATGTTAACATCTTACATTTGTTACAACTAAAAAATAAAGATAGCACTGCTACCAGTGGCTCACACCTGTAATCCCAGCACTTTGGGAGACTGAGGTGGGAGGATCACTTGAGCTCAGGGGTTCGAGACCAGCCTGGGCAACATAGTGAGACCCCATCTTTACAAAAAATTAAAAATTAGTGGAGCATGGTAGCAAGCATCTATAATTCCAGCTACCCAGGAGGCTGAGGCAGGAGGACAGCTTGAGCCAGGGAGGTCGAGGCTGCAGGGAGCTGTGATCAAGACACTGCACTCCAACCTGGTTGACAAAGTGAGACTCTGTATTAAAAAAAAAAAAAAAAAGAAAAAAAAACAAACATGGATATATCCAAGGTATACAACTTGATGTTTTGATATACGTATCCACTGTGATAGTTACCGCCATCAAGCTAATCCACATACATCACCTCCCACAGTTAACTTTTCTTTTGGTGTGAAAACACTTATAATCCTCTTAGCAAATTTCAAGTGTACACTGTAGTATTGTTACCTGGGGTTGGACAAATTATTTAATGCCGTGTGCCTTAGTTTCATTTGTTTTTATTTTTATTTTTTGAGATGGAGTTTCACTCTTGTTGCCCAGGCTGGAGTGCAATGGCGCAATCTCAGATCACTGTAAACTCTGCCTCCCGGGTTCAAGCGATTCTCCTGCCTCAGCCTCCCGACTAGCTGGGACTACAGGCATGCACCACCACGCCTGGCTAATTTTGTATTTTTAGTAGAGATGGGGTTTCTCCATGTTGGTCAGGCTGGTCTCAAACTCCTGACCTCAGGTGATCCGCCCACCTTGGCCTCCCAAAGTGCTGGGATTACAGGCGTGAGCCATTTCGCCCGGCCAGTTTCATTTATAAAATAGGGACATGAATAGTGATGATTCGTAGGTATTTGTGAGGATTCACTGAATTGATACAAGTCATGAGTTTGGAAGGCACCTGGCAGCTGGCACTTTCACCCACGTTTACAGTGCAATGACTTCATGCTGCAGTAGAAACTTCCGGCATAGCCTAAGCTTAAGCTCTTTACTTGCTATCATCACATTTCCCGTGCTTGCTAGGCCACAGGCACTCTGCTAAATGCGCGCCGTGTGCTGTCTCATTCAATCATCCCCTGCTCCTTTTTGCTTTTGAGATGGAGTTTCACTCTGTTGCCCAGGCTGGGTGCAATGGTATGATCTTGGCTCACTGCAACCTCTGATTCCTGGGTTCAAGCCTCCTGCCTCAGCTTCTTGAGTAGCTGGGATTACAGGCACGTTCTACCACGCCTGGCTGAGTTTTGTACTTTTAGTAGAGTTGGGGTTTCACCATGTTGGTCAGGCTGGTCTCGAAATCCTGACCTTGTGATCTACCCACCTCAGTCTCCCAAGTGCTGGGATTACAGGTGTGAGCACAGCAGCCGGCCCAATCATCCCCATTTTAACAAAACAAGGCAGTGAGGCTCAGATACAGAGGGAGATTGGTCTCCAGGGCCACGAGCCCCTAAAGGCAGAACCAGGGTTTGCACCAGACACTAGGATATGGGCACAGCCTCCCTCCGTAAACTACTCATGACTTGACCTCTCTCTGAGCTTGGGCAAGGGAGTGCACTCTCTGGGAGAGATACAGCCATAAAGCTCCCCAGCTTAGGCAGGAGGGGGACCTCCCAGTCCCAGCTGAGATACTGGCCTTTAACACCAGACTTCCTTTTCTCCTAGGAGTTTTTCCCAAGCCCTCGCTCTCAGCCCAGCCTGGCCCAGCGGTGTCCCCAGGAGGGGATGTGACCCTACAGTGTCAGACCGAATATGGCTTTGACCAATTTGCTCTGTACAAGGAGGGAGACCCTGGACCCTACAAGAATCCTGAGAGATGGTACCGGGCTAGCTTCCCCATCACCACGGTGACCGCCGCCCACAGCGGGACCTACCGGTGCTACAGCTTCTCCAGAAGGGCCCCATACCTGTGGTCGGCCCCCAGTGATCCCCTGGAGCTTGTGGTCACAGGTAGGGGTGTTGTAGACCTTTCTTCCTCAAACTTTATAGGTCCTGATGGCCATTCCAAGGGGAGGGGCCCTAGGTATGAAGGAAATGAGAGGGCAGGAAGCCCTGGGCTGCAGGCAGCTGGGAGGATGTAGGTTTTCCTTTTTTTTTTTTTTGAGACGGAGTTTCGCTCTTGTTACCCAGGCTGGAGTGCAATGGCGCGATCTCGGCTCACTGCAACCTCCGCCTCCTGGGTTCAGGCAATTCTCCTGCCCCAGCCTCCTGAGTCACTGGGATTACAGGCACGCGCCACCATGCCCGGCTAATTTTTTATATTTTTAGTAGAGACGGGATTTCACCATGTTGACCAGGATGGTCTCGATCTCTTGACCTCGTGATCCACCCGCCTCGGCCTCCCACAGTGCTGGGATTACAGGCTTGAGCCACCGCGCCTGGCCAGGTTTTCCTTTTTTTGATGGAGTCTCACTCTGTCACCCAGGCTGGAATGCAGTGGTGCGATCTCAGCTCACTGCAACCTCCACCTCCCAGGTTCAAGTGATTCTCCTGCCTCAGCCTCCTGAGTACCTGGGATTACAGGTGTGTGCCACCACACTCAGCTAATTTTTGTATTTTTAGTAGAGACGGGGTTTCACCATGTTGGCCAGGCTGGTCTCGAACTCCTGACCTCAGGTGATCTGCCTGCCCCAGCCTCCCAAAGTGCTGGGATTACAGGCGTGAGCCACCGCACCTGGCCTCAATTCAATACATTTTAAGAAGTTTTAAAATAACAAAACAAAACAAAGAGTTTTTGGAGTTGTGTAACCATGACAATCCAATTTTAGCAACTTCCATCACCCTAAAAAGATCTTGCGCCCATTTGTGGTCACTTCCTCTTCCCACTCCCAGCTCCAGGTAACCACCTGTCTACTTTCTTTGTGTATAAATTTGCCTTCTCTGGGCATTTCATATAAGTGGAGTCATACACTACATCATCTTTCATGACTGGTTTCTTTCACTCAGCGTAACGTTTTCAAGGTTCATTCATATTGCAGAGTGAATCAGTCTTTCATTCTTGTTTTTTAAATTTGTATTTGTAATGGGCAAATCACTGTATACGTTTACAGGGTACAATGTAATGTGTTGATATATGTATTCACTGTGGAATGATTATATCAAGCTAACTGACATATCCACCTCACCTGCCATTACCTTACCTACTTATCAATTCTTCTTTTTTGGGACGGGGTCTCGGTCACCCAGGATGGAGTGCAGGGGTGTGATCTTGGTTTACTGCAACCTCTGCCTCCCAGGTTCTGTGATCCTCCCACCACAGCCTCCCTAGTAGCTGGGATTACAGGTGTGCACCATCATGCCCAGCTATTTTTGTATTTTTTGTAGAGATAGAGTTTCACCATGTTGCCCAGGCTGGTCTTGAACTCCTGGGCTCATCTGATCCTCCTGCCTCTGAAAGTGCCGGGATTACAGGCATGAGTCACTGCACCCGACCGTCTTATAATTTCTTTGTAGTAAGAATGTGTACTCTTTTAAGAATTTTGAAATATACAATGCATTATTACTAATGATGGCTTCAACTTTTTTCTTTTTTTGAGACGGAGTCTCGCTCTGTAGCCCAGGCTGGAATGCAATAGCATGATCTCTGCTCACTGCAGCCTCCATCTCCCGGGTTCAAGTGATTCTCCTGCCTCAGCCTCCAGAGTAGCTGAGACTACAGAGGCCTGCCACCATGCCTCGCTAATTTTTGTATTTTTAGTAGAGATGGGATTTCACCATATTAGCCAGGATGGTCTCCAACTCCTGACCTTGTGATCTGCCTGCCTCTGCCTCCCAAAATGCTGGGATTACAGGTGTGGGTCCCGGGCCTGGCCTCAAACATCCACAGCAATCCACTGATGTAAGCTACTTTAGACTCACTTTTCAGGTGAGGAAACTAGGTTACAGAGATATTTCATTATTTGTTGAGGACTCACATGACCAGAGCATTTTTCTCTCATTTTCTGATTTCCCAGGAACCTCTGTGACCCCCAGCCAGTTATCAAAAGAACCACCTTCCTCTGCCAAAGGTAAGTTCTGCAGGATCCATTCTGGTGTGCAGGGTGTGAGGCACATGGACTCCTTCTCTTTCCTTTCTGCCTAGGTTTGTCGATTTACTTCACTTGTTTCTTTAAGAAATTTGCTTTGTTTTAAAAACCCTTTACTTCAGTTGGGCACAGTGGCTCATGCTGGTAATCCCAGCACTTTGGGAGGCCAAGGTGGGCAGATCATGAGGTCAGGAGTTCAAGAACAGCCTGCCCAACATGGTGAAACCCTGTCTCTACTAAAAATATAAAAATTAGCCGGGTGTGGTGGCACGCACCTGTAATCCCAGCTACTCGGTAGGTTGAGACAGGAGATTGCTTGAACTCGGGAGACAGGAGGTTGCAGTGAGCCAAGATCATGCCATTGCACTCTAGCCTGGGCAACAAGAGCGAAACTCTGTCTCAAAAAAATAAAAAAATAAAAAAAAAATTAGCTGGGCGTGGTGGTATGTGCCTGTAGTCCCAGCTACTCAGCAGCCTGAAGCAGGAGAATTGCTTGAATCCGGGAGGCAGGGGTTGCAGTGAGCCATGATTGTGCCACTGCATGCACTCCAGCCTAGGTGACAAGAGTAAGACTCTGTCTCAAAAAAAAAAAAAAAAA